TCATTGTTGTTTGGCGGGTCCGGGCTGGGGATTCGAACCCGCCACCTTAGGTGTACGTGGCTGGCGCCTTAGCCGGTTGAGCTATAGGCGCCGGGCCCTGTAATTTTATTTTTCCACATATCCCATATCAGAACATAAAGAATATCCCTCATCCTTCTTCACAGCTGTATAGTAGGCAAACACATGAAGATACTTTATGTGCTGTTGGCTCCTCAATGTAAGACATTGGATGGGATTCTAAAGTACGATTCCTACTAACAGTGCTACAACTTGGTTTCCACCATACCCTTCTCACACTGTAGGACGTCTGGAGGAGAAATTCAAGAAACAGTTTTGCTGGGTTCACAGAACATAAGCAGTGAGGCACAGGAAATTCCCATGGATGGATCCCTTGAAATTAAATGGGGCAGGTGGCATATGTATGTGTATTTTTCTGGGTATAGATTAAAAGGGAGGCTTGGTGCCTGTAGCTCAAGCGGCTAAGGCAAGAGCCACATACACCAGAGCTGGTGGGTTTGAATCCAGCCTAGTCCTGCCAAACAGCAATGACAACTACAACCAAAAAATAGCCGGGCGTTGTGGCGGGCGCCTGTAGTCCCAGCTACTTGGGAGGCTGAGGCAGGAGAATCACTTGAGCCTGGGAATTGGAGGTTGCTGTGAGCTGTGATACCCAGGGTGACAGCTTGAGGCTCTGTCTCAAAAAAAAAAAAAAAGACTCAAAAGGTAGATTGTAGTTGAACACTAGATCTGAAGGTGGGGAGACCCAGGGCCTGTGGCCTAGGCTGTGCACTAACCCAGGTCGTTGGCGAGCCTTCGGCCATCCTCAGCAGGCACAACACGCTCGTCTTCTAGGTCACACTTGTTCCCCACGAGGATGACCTGGGCATTGTCCCAGGAGTAGGTCTTGATCTGCGTGGCCCTGTGGAATTGCCAGCTGTGAGCCATACGCCAGGGGTTGGAAGACAGGGGGTTAGCATCAACAGGTACTCACCAGTCTTGCACAGCTGTAAAGGACTCCTGATTGGCAACATCGTACATAAGCAGGAAACCCATGGCTCCTCGGTAGTAGGTGGTGGTGATTGTACGGTAGCGCTCCTGGCCCGCTGTGTCCTGTGCAAACAGCAGTGTCAGGTAGCTAGAAACCACCCATTTCTCTACCCCACCCCTGGAAAGCTCTACCTGTCTGAGAGGGGCACCACTCTGTGCTCACTCCAGTCCCAGTTTGATCAGAGAGGCATGGACTTAATTTTTTTTTTTTTTTTTTTTTTTAGACAGAGTCTTACTGTGATTATCACAGCTCACAGCAACCTCCAACTCTTGGGCATAAGCGATTCTCTTGCCTCAGCCTCCCAAGTAGCTGGGACTACAGGCACCCGCCGAACACCGGGCTATTTTCTTGTTGCAGTTGTTTAGCTGGCCCAGGCCAGGTTGGAGCCTGCCACCCTCAATGTATGTGGCTGGTGCCATAACCACTGTGCTACAGGCACCAAGCAGGCATGGACTCATTTTTGAGACCTCTGCCCCATTGTCCAATGGGGAGCAGATATGGCCAGGCCCTTGAGGGTTTCCAAGTCTGAGGGGTCAGTGGCCTCTCATAGACTGATGGGTCCCTCTCATCTCTAAGAGCCAACTTAATGACCACAACAAGAGCCATCTGCATCAGAGGGTGCCATCTTGACAGGATACCTTGGTGCTCTTATTACCATGATAATTGCTGCCTATAGCAGGTTTGAAGGAGAGGAGGAGCATTTGAAGGAAAGGGAGGGTTCCTGAGCTTGCCACTGAGGTTTAGTACCTAAACCTCTTCCCCATGCCTTGAGCTAGTACTTAATTCCTAGTGTCTCTCTTCCTGCTCTGACTCCAAGGAATAGAGCTGTCTTTCCAACACCCCTCAGCGGAGACCATGTCTCTTCATCCTGATGAATTCAACTTGTAGATAACACTCTCCCTACTCTTTAATCCTCCCCCAACCCAACTCAAATCTGGGCTGTGTCCCTCACCCAGGAACCCTCCAATGAACTTCCCTGGAGGAACACCCCCCCTCCAATCCCTCGCCATAGACTGCTGCCTAGCCCACCCAGATCTGTAGCTTGATCCTTTTGTCATGGCGGTAGACAGTCTTGACCTTGAAGTCAATGCCCACAGTGCTGACGAAGGCGGGCGTGAAGGAGTCATCAGCATAACGGAACAAAAAGGATGTCTTGCCCACACTACTATTGCCAATGAGTAGTAGTTTGAACATGTAGTCGAAGTTCTGGTCTGCTGCATCCCGTGGGCCTGCAGTGGCGTCTCCAGCTGATGCCATCTTGGAAGGAATCTCCTTAGGGGGGAGGCCTGAAATCCTTAGAGCCCTGCAGGGGAATAAAACACTAGTAACATCCACAGTGCCTATCCACTAGGGTTCAAATCACTCCTCTGCCACTTGGAAACCAGGTGATCTTGGATGCCATCACTTGCTCTTGCTGGACCTTAATGTCCTCTTCTGAAAAATCCGATGTTTGTTATAGTTTCTTCCTGGTTGGGTGTTTGGATATGAGGCTAAAATGAGTTCCTTTATTCATTCAACACCATTTATTGAGTGTCTACTCTGCCAATCCCTGTTCTCCAAAGAGAGACAGCTCTGAAAAAGACAGGAGAAAGCCCACCCTTCGGGTATAGTCACATTCCTTCAAGTGGGAGGTTATTAACACGCATAACAGTCATAAGACAATGCCTGGCATAGAGTTGGTGCTCAATCAATGTGACTACTGTTTAATCTTCACACCCTCTAGCAAATTTGAGTCTTTATTAGGACAGGGAGCAGGGAAGCCCCTTGCAGTCTCATGGAGGGTTCAAATGCAGGGTGCCTCCTCTGGCTGCAGAGGAACCAGGCAGAAGTTGCAGGTGTGGACTTTGCCCCATTGACCTGAGCAGCTGGTGTAGCCCAGGTGTGAGCTGGGGGGAATTGCCAGGTAGAAAGAGCCCCCCCTCCGCAGGGCCTGGGTCTTGACTTTGGCAGGTATCAGCCACTGGAGTGTCTGTACTGCCCCAACCCAAGCTGAGTTTAACCCCTTCCCTGAGAACCAGGGGACAGTTTCTGGTGTGACCCATGTTTAAAGCCCATCAATACCCCCTCCCAAATTGGTATAGCCATTTTCTGTTTGTCAAAGGGGCTGGGCCTGTCTTTGTCTGACCAAGGCTGACTCACTCCAGCCCAAGCCCTAGGTAACAGAGGCAGGAATGAGAGCCCTCACATCCAAGGAAACCATGCCAGCCACCTAATTCCCATAACCCCACTGCCAGCATCCCCACCCCTGGTTCTTCCCTTCTAGATAAGCTACCCCATTGGATTGGGCTGCTGGTATCCACCCACACTCCAAATTCAATTTCATCTGGGTCCAGGGTGCTCACTCAACTCTCATCCCCTCCCCAGGCCTCAGTTTCCTCAGTTGTCTTTTTTTTTTTTTTTTTGAGACAGAGCCTCAAGCTATCCCCCTGGGTAGAGTGCTATGGCATCACAGCTCACAGCAACCTCCAACTCCTGGGCTCAAGCGAGTCTCCTGCCTCAGCCTCCCAAGTAGCTGGGACCACAGGCGCCTGCCACAATGCCTGGCTATTTTTTGGTTGCAGCCGTCATTGTTATTTGGTGGGCCTGGGCTGGATTTGAACCCGCCACCTTAGGTGTATGTGGCTGGCGCCTTAGCCACTTGAGCCACAGGTGCCGAGCCTCCTCAGTTGTCCTGAGGCTTCTAGTTCCTTAAATGCTGCCTTTTGATTGAATTCAAATTTTACAAAAGAATCTTTTATATTAAAAGGTGTGCAGCAGAGAAAGATGCTTTTTTTGTCTCCTTTGATGCTTAAGAAAGAATGATCTTTATTCATTTATTTATTTTTTGAGACAGCAACCTCCAACTCCTGGGCTCAAGGGATTATCTCCTGCCTCTGACTCCCAAGTAGCTGGGATTATAGGTGCTTACCACAATGCTGGGCTTTTTTTTTTTTTTTTTTTGGCTGCAGCCGTCATTGTTATTTGGCGGCCTGCGCTGGATTCAAACCCACCAGCTCAGGTGTATGTGGCTGGCGCCTTACCCGCTTGAGCTATAGGCGCAAGGCAAGAAAAAATGATCTTGAAATCAGAAAACAGCAGGTTCCTTACCCTTGGATCAATGGAGGGCACGTGGGGATTTTTTTCCATTTTAAATGAGGACTCAAACGGCCCCACCCCGTGTTCCGGGAGAACGAGTTTGAGGAGGGGAAGAGAAGTGGCAGGAAACCTTTCACCATGCTGGGCAGGGCCGCCAAGCTGGGGCCCCCACTTCACCCTCGGCCTCAGCCCACCTGTCAGTCTCTCCCATCTCTTCCTGACCATCTGCCAACTCTCCCCCAAACCTGGCCCCGGAGTTCTAGACTCGGTCCCCTTCACTAGATTTGGGGGCGCTCCCCTATCACCATATGGTCCAATCATACGTCCTCAGCTGGGCTCCCTGCCCGGCCCGCACTCCAATAGAGCTCCCCAATGAGCCCAGCTGTGTAGGGGCGAGAGCAGAGGTGTCTCCCAGAACTCTGCCTTTGTTCTCCAGCCCCCAGCCCACCCCCAACTCCCTTTCCCTTCCGACCGGCTCCAACACGGAGAGGCAGTAAGGGGTACGCTCCCTCCCATGGGGTCACCTCGCGTAGGGGGGGCGCCACCCACCAGGGTTCGGCCTCCGAATTTGCTGCGGTGTGGCCCCGGCCGCGACCCCGGCCCTGCAGCCGCTGCTGCTGCCGCCTGGAGCCACCCGGATTCCGCTCGAGCACCGCCCAGGCGGCGGGGGTGGAGCAGCTCTGCGGACGGGCGGGGCGGGGCCGAGCCTGGGGAGGAACTTGTAGACCGCAGGAGGGGCTGGAAGCTGTACGTGCATCTAGCACCCGCCCCCAGCAGTAAACATCTCATTTTCCACAGCTCTGCAAACAGATCTTCTGGCAAACACACGGTAGTTAAGAGCGGGGACTGTGGATGAGGGTTCAAGTCCCAGCTCCATTTTCTTTCTTTTTTTTTTTTTTTTTTTTTGAGACAGAGTCTCACTTTGTCGCTCTTAGTAGAGTGTGGTGGTGTCACAGGTTACTCACAGGAACCTCAAACTCTTGGACTTAAGAGAGTCTCTTGCCTCAGCCTCCCAAGTAGCTGGGGCTACAGGCATCCACCACAAC